GGGGTTTGGGGAACGTAGCCCAAACCCATGGGTTTGGGGGTTTGGGAACATGGGAACCGACCCACAGGTGAGGGTAAAAAAATTTAGACTGACCCTTAGGTGGGGGTTTGGGAAATTTAGACCGACCCATAGGTGAGGGTGGGAAACTTAGCCCGACCCATAGGTGAGGGGGGGAAACTTTTTTGCCCGACCCACAGGTGAGGGTAGGAACTTTAGCTGACCCATAGGTGAGGGGGGGGAAACTTTTTTAGACCAAACCCATGGGTTTGGGGGGGGAACATAGACCAAACCCATAGGTGAGGGGGGAAAAAAACCCAATAGGGGGGGAACCCCAAAGGTGGGGGGGGAAAACGTTTTAGATCCGCCCCACAGGTGGGGGGGGGGAAAAGTTGACCGACCCACAGGTGGGGGTTTTGGAAAACTTTAAAACCGACCCAAAAGTGGGGGTGGGAAAGTTTTAGCCCCGAACCCCCAGGTGAGGGTGGGAAAATTTTTGGGCCCGCCCCCATAGGTTTTGAGGGGGGGAAACCCTTTTTGGGACCGACCCCATAGGTGGGGGGGGAAACTTTTGGCCCCAAACCCATGGGTTTTAAAGGGGGGGAAAATTTGGGCCCGACCCAAGGGGGGGGGAAGAGGGGTCGGGGGGGAACGTGGGAAATTTGACCCACGGGTTTGGGGGGGGGGAACTTTGGGGCCCGACCCTTTGGTGGGGGTGGGAACGTGACCAAACCCATGGTGGGGGGGAAAAAACCTTTTTAGACCGCCCCAAAGGTGAGGGTGGGAAAATTTAAAACCGCCCCACGGGGTAAAGGGTAGGAACTTTTGGGACTGCCCAAACGGGTTTGAGGGTGGGAACGTTGGGACCGACCCATAGGTGAGGGTTTGGGGAACTTTTTAAGCCCGGACCCTTAGGTGGGGGTTGGGAACGTTTTGACCGACCCAAAGGGGGAGGGTGGGAAAAGTAGCCCGCCCCAATAGGTGGGGTGGGAAATTTTAAAATGCCCCCAACAGGTGGGGGGTGGGGAACTTTTAAAATAAACCCACAGGTGAGGGTGGGAACTTTAGCCCGGACCCACAGGTGGGGGTTTGGGAAGTTAAAAGCCCCTAGGGGGAGGGTGGGAAACTTTTAGCCCCGACCCACAGGGGGAGGGTAGGAAAACCGTTAGACCGACCCATAGGTGAGGGTGGGGAACTTTTTTGGGCCGCCCCATAGGTGAGGGTAGGAACGTAGACCGACCCATAGGTGAGGGTGGGAACGTAGACCGACCCATAGGTGAGGGTGGGAACGTAGACCGACCCATAGGTGAGGGTGGGAACGTAGACCGACCCACAGGTGAGGGTAGGAACGTAGACCGACCAGTAAATTGAGAGCTTTGCCTTTTCGCTCAGCTCTCTCTTCACCACGACAGACCGGTGCAGCGTCCGCATTATTGCAGCAGCCGCACCGATCCGTCTATCGATCTCCCGCTCCATTCTTCCCTCACTCGTGAACAGGACCCCAAGATACTTGAACTCCTCCACTTGAGGCAGGGACTCTCCTCCAACCTGAGGGGGACAAGCCACCATGCCAGGAAAGCCTCCCCCGGGCACGTCCCACAGGGAGGAGGCCCAGGGGACGGCCCAGGACACCCTGGAGAGACTATGTCTCTCGGCTGGCCTGGGAGCGCCTAGGGCTTCCCCCAGCAGAGCTGGAGGAGGTGTCTGCGGAGAGGGAAGTCTGGGAGTCTCTGCTTAGTCTGCTGCCCCCGCGACCCGGTTCCAGATAAAGTGGGAGACTCCCGATCTAACTGCGACATTCTGATCTAACTGCGACGTCCTGATCGTACTGCGACGTTCTGATCTAAGTGCGACGTCCTGATCGTACTGCGACGTTCTGATCTAAGTGCGACGTCCTGATCATACTGTGACGTTCTGTACTAACTGCGATGTCCTGATTGTACTGCGATGTTCCGATCTAACTGTGACGTCCTGATCGTACTGCGACGTTCTGATCTAACTGCGATGTTCCGATCTAACTGCGACTCCAGCTTAGAAAACATTCTGCATCACTGGAGAAGGAGAACCTAAAGCAGCTTTATTGATAGACTGAGGGCAGAAGCCCGCGTCATCACTCCTCCACCGACCGTGCCCTAAATAAATATAAATGTTCGTTTCACAGTCAGCAGGTCGTCTCATCAGACCCAAAGAAGTGACGAAGACCTCCTTTCTGTGTGATGAAGAGTTCTCGGCTGATTGTCATTTTGAAGCCTCACTGTCAGAAAAAAGCTCTGCACTGATGGGAAATGATGTCATCATCTGTTCAGCATAAATCTCACCTCAGAGTTTCCGTTAGAATCAGAAAAGATGCAGATTTTCCACAGGAAACGTTAGAAAGTTTCAGGCGTTACTGTCAGCACCTTTCTGTGAACACAGAACCAACAGATGCAGAAAACATCTGGACTCGGATCAGGAGCCAAACCAGAAGCTCTGATTTCTGCTTTGCTTTCATTGCTGATTGATAATAAGAATAATAATACATTTCATTTCAAAGGAACCTTTCTGGACACTCCTGGACACTGTACAAAGATAAAAACGCAACAGAATTTAAAAACACAAAGGCTGGAACAGGGAGATTAACATGAAAGAGAATCTTAAACAGATGAGCTTTTAGTGGAAATGGAGAAGTGAGTCTGTGTTTCTCAGTGAGGATGGTAGAGATGCTTCCTAAGAGGAGGCAGAGCAGGTAAAGTTATTGATACGGGATTAAAAGGCTCTTAATCTGGAGGGACAGTGAGATGGAGGAACTGTCAATCATCAGGAGGAAGCTGTGGATTTACTGCCAATAAGGAGAAGCTCAGTTTTACTGCTGTTCAAATGAAGGAAGTTGTTGGTGAATAAGGCCTTTATTACAGGAGGGGGGGGGGGGGGGGGGGTAGAGCTGGGTGTCATGATGACATCATGACATCATTTCTCTCGAATAATTAGAATAGACGCCTGCCGGAAAGTCGCGTCCGATTGCTACATTTTATCAGAAAGTTCGTCAGAAGTTTCCTTTGATGATGAGGAAGGCCTCCTTACCATCACCCTCATCTTTAGCTGCACCCTGTGAGGTCGCCTCGTTCTTTACGCCCTAAAACAGGATGGATTCAGAAATTATTCAGAGGCTTTCATGGCCCATCGTCATCATCATCGTCATCATCATCACCATCATCATCATCATCATCATCATCATCTTCACCTTTAAAGCCGTAGTTAGAATACATGTAGAATAGAATAGAAAATCCCTTTATTGCCCCTAAATGGGGAAACTCTGGTGTTTAAAGCAGCAAAAATATTATAGAAAAAAATTCTCACACAAACGTGAACTTTAGAAAAATGTCTAAGAATAACATAATAGTGAAGATTTAAAATATAAATAATAAAATCCTGTAAAGTGTTTTAACAATATAAAACTGGAGAATAAATAACCAATATGCAGCTATGGACATTTTTACAGTAAATTGAAAATAGCAGCAACATCAGAGATGTGCAGAATGACAGCAGCAGGTTATTTAACTGACTAAGGTAGAAACTGAGCAGAATCAGCCTGAATGGAAGAACTGGTTGAGGTTACTGGGAACAGTGGTGGTTCTAGAGTCTTCCAGCTGCTGGGAGGAAGGATCTGTGATAACGCTCCCTGCTGCATCCCTTTTCTCACTGTATGAAAACTTCTGACTTTAAAGATGTCTTTAAAACTTTAAACCCATCAGTATCAATTAAACTAGAACTGAAACTAAGGTAGAAAACCCTAAAACCCCCAGGAGGGTTCTGGTTTAACTGGAAGTTTAACTGGTTTTGGTTTAACTGGAAGCTCTGGTTTTTAGCTCAGTGAAAAAGTTCCTTTCTTTTATTCTTGGCAGGAAATTATCGACATTTTAACGTCAGACAGCGAAGAGAAGTTTGTCCTCCTTCACTCTGTGTTTGAGTGACAGCAGCTTTCACCTGTAGGCGGGACACGGCACGGTGGTGGGAGGGTCATGATGTGGGTCAGTCATCAATCCTGAAGCGCCTAGATGATTGAATCGTGACTGAGGAAGCAGACGGAGTCAGAAGTGGGCGTGGCCTCAGAAATCCACAGATGCTTCCTGTCTTAGACGTGAAACTACAGACACGTGTGAAAAGGCACGCTCATCGTGCTACATGTACGGCAGACGTGCTCAGGCTGCAGGTGGTGATGAAGAGGAGGCAGAGGAAGAGCGAATAAAGGCAGCAGGTAATTCCTGTCAGTCAGGACGCAGCGCCTCTTCTTCTGCTGTCGGCTTTGAAGCAGCGAGGAGATTTATCCGTTAGCGAGAAGGTCACCTGAGGTCACCTGAGGTCAGCAGCAGGTTTTCATTTTCTGAGGTTGGATCAGAGATCCGGAGATTTAACGCCTCAGGAAAGAACAGGAAACGGTGAAAATTCACTGCAAACTATCGAAATCTAAATAAATCTAAAACTGAGGAGGAAAGTTTCCATTTCCAAAGGAACAAAATCATTTAAAATTAGAAATAAACTATTGCTTTGTTTTCTGTTAAGTTCATATTATCTAATTATTCTATTTTAAGAGTAAAAATACTAATTTAACTGCTTAAAGGTAAATAATGAATTGAAGAAATGTTTATTTTCCTCAGATGGAGGTTTTATAGAAATATTAGAATAAAAATGTCGGTTAACTGATGGACGTTGAATCGAGAACAGTTTAAAAAGTTAAACTTTTATGGAAGATTTTAAACTTTGATGGAATCAAAGTAAAAAGGTTGATATTTTCTGCAGGATGTAAATAAAAACGATAACAGATTTTAATCAGCTCTATAAAGATGATAATCTGTCTATTAAAGGAGAAATGTTTGAATTTTAATCCGTTTTAAACAGTTTGGATGTTGGTTGATTATTTAAATCTGATCCAAACTGAGGAGCGGAGAAGTTCTGGATGCTTGAAGCTCGGTTCTTAGAACCTGAACAGAACCTTCAGTTTAATCTCCTTCTCTTCGTCTCTCCAGGTTCTGACCTCCTGATTGGTCCGCCAGCATCACCGTGACGATGGATCCATGATCTGATTGGACATTTAGCCCTGCAGACCCGGATCCTGGACCGACAGCTCCCCCCCCCCGATGCTAACCCTCTGATTGGACGCTTCTTCCTTCAGACCGTTGTCCTTGGATCTGATTGGTCAGCCGTCTCTGCAGACCCGGTCCTGTGGGCGGGGCTGACTGCCATGGGGCCCCCAGAGGGATCTCTGATGACCAATGTTACGTGTGAGGCGCCGTACGAGGAGGGCCGCCTGCCGCTGCTGCTCCTCTACATCGTGGTTCTGGTGGTCGGCCTTCCCGCCAACGTGCTGACCATCTTCCTCACCTGGCAGCAGGTGTGCAGGAAAAACGTGCTGGCCGTTTACCTGTGGAGTCTGTCTGTGTGCGACCTGACCTACCTGTTCACTCTGCCGCTTTGGGCCGACTACGTCAACAGCGGCCATTCCTGGAGGTGGAGTTCCACCGCCTGCAAGATGACGGGCTACGTCTTTTTCAACAACATGTACATCAGCATCTTCCTGCTCTGCTGCATCTCCTGCGACCGTTACTGGGCGGTGGTCTACAGCCTGGAGTCCCGCGGGCTGCGGCGTCAGCACCACGCCGTGATCGTCACGGTGGCTGTTGTTCTGGTGGTGGCCCTGGGTCACACCGCCGTCTTCACCATGAGGGAGGGCGACGCCGAAGGCCAGGGACGCTGCTTTGAGCCTGGCGGCGGCGGCGGCGGCGGCAGGATCATGGGTTTCAACTACGCCCGCTTCATCGTGGGCTTCCTGCTTCCGCTGCTGCTGCTAGCAGTGACGAACCGCTGCGTCCTGGCCAACGTGCAACGCAGCACGGGCCTGCAGGGCGGCCAGAAACGCCGCGTTCGCCGGCTGGCTGTGGCGGTGGTGATGCTGTTCCTCATCTGCTTCGGCCCCTACCATCTTATCCTGCTGATCCGCGCCGTCTTCGCCCAGTTCCCCCAGCTGGTAAACACCCCCTGCCTGTTTGAGAGGAACATGTACACCCCCTACACCATCTCTCTCGGTCTGTCCACCATCAACAGCGCCGTCAACCCCATTCTCTACGTCCTGTCCAGCAACAACATCCGCAAAGAGTGCCGCCGCGGCCTGACTCAGGTCCGAGTCCTGGGCTGCCACGCACCGCAGTCCAACAGCAGCCAGAACAAGTCCTTAGAGCTGAACGCTGGAACCGAGACTGAGAGACACGTCGCCGGGACGACCGAGACATGAGAGACATGTGGACTCTACCTGCCCCTCCCCCACCGCTGCTCATCATTCAGGGTTAGAAACTGCAAAAGACCGAATCGTAGAAAACAGACAATTCTGAGACTTTCAGCGAAGCTTCTGCTTCTGTAACGTCTCGGTTTGTCGCTCTGTAGAACGTCTTCGGTCTGCAGACTGTCAGAGACTCTCAGACTGACCTCTGACCTCTCCAGAGGTTCTTCTCACCAGCAGCTGCTTCTTTTTATCCTTCATGTAACCAAAGTTCACCTGCAGCAGCGTAATATTCCTGAAAGAAAGCTTCTTATATTTGATGATGTCAGCTTCTTTCTTTCCACATTTCATAATAAAAGTCTTTGAGTGAAAGTTTTACTTTCGTTGTTTGGATTTTATGTTTTATTTGAATGATTCTGCTGCATAGCTGCTTCTATGTATTCTTTTTCTACATTATATCTCAGGTTTCTGGTCTCAGACATCCTGCAGATAAACCCGTTCATGGCTGAGAGGACAGGAAGTGGGTGTTTCTGGGCTGTTTGCTGAATCCAGCAGCTGCATCCTCTGAAGGCCAGATTCATTCGATGATGTCATAGCGCGGCGCCGAGGTCTGTTCAGATTGGAAGACTCCTCGTCATGCGGCCGACTAACGAGTCCTTCTGCCCATTTGAAGGACGGGTCCGATGTATCCTCGCTATCCTTGGTTTTCCCAGGATTCATTGCGAGTCCAAGCAAGCCGGCTGCTCCATGATCAGAGGAAACAGGGAAATGGCGCCAAACAGTGGTGAAAATTGGAGGTTCAGTTTAATATAATCCAGTCTGTGAATAGTTCCGTCTGAAATGAATGAAAATAGTTGTTTTAATGGTTATAGAGTCAGATATGTGGCGGTAATGTTTGGTTTATCTAAAGGTTTTAATCTGTTACTGATTAAATGGGTTTGGCTGGAATTTAAGGACAGATTCTAATATATCTGCAGGGGGGGGACTATAAACCTGATATCTGAGACGACCGTACTGCTGCTGAAGCTCCTCAGAAATGTTATTAACACCCAGAACAGCAGAGATGTTCAGCAGCCATTCTTTGAAAGCTTTGAGTGTCAACTGTTATGGTTGCTAGGCAACAGATAGTACAGGTGGTGAAAGCTGGTGAAGGGTGGACCTGTTTGAACCCACAGACCGGGTCCCTGGAGGATCCAGTCCAGGTAGACCGGGTCCCTGGAGGATCCAGTCACTGGAATCAAACGCTCCCGTTTTCTTCAGTCCGTGATGCTACCTCCACCATGATGCTACCTCCACCATGATGCTACCGTGATGCTACCTCCACCATGATGCTACCTCCACCATGATGCTACCGTGATGCTACCTCCACCATGATGCTACCTCCACCATGATGCTATCGTGATGCTACCTCCACCATGATGCTACCTCCACCATGATGCTACCTCCACCATGATGCTACCGTGATGCTACCTCCACCATGATGCTACCTCCACCATGATGCTACCGTGATGCTACCTCCACCATGATGCTACCGTGATGCTACCTCCACCATGATGCTACCTCCACCATGATGCTACCGTGATGCTACCTCCACCATGATGCTACCTCCACCATGATGCTATCGTGATGCTACCTCCACCATGATGCTACCTCCACCATGATGCTACCTCCACCATGATGCTACCGTGATGCTACCTCCACCATGATGCTACCGTGATGCTACCTCCACCATGATGCTACCTCCACCATGATGCTACCGTGATGCTACCTCCACCATGATGCTACCGTGATGCTACCTCCACCATGATGCTACCGTGATGCTACCTCCACCATGATGCTACCTCCACCATGATGCTACCGTGATGCTACCTCCACCATGATGCTACCTCCACCATGATGCTACCGTGATGCTACCTCCACCATGATGCTACCGTGATGCTACCTCCACCATGATGCTACCTCCACCATGATGCTACCGTGATGCTACCTCCACCATGATGCTACCACCACCATGATGCTACCGTGATGCTACCTCCACCATGATGCTACCGTGATGCTACCTCCACCATGATGCTACCGTGATGCTACCTCCACCATGATGCTACCTCCACCATGATGCTACCGTGATGCTACCTCCACCATGACGCTACCTCCACCATGATGCTACCTCCACCATGATGCTACCGTGATGCTACCTCCACCATGATGCTACCGTGATGCTACCTCCACCATGATGCTACCTCCACCATGATGCTACCTCCACCATGATGCTACCGCCCTTGAACCCCAGTGGGCCTCAGCAGATGGCCGCTCACACTGAGCCTGGTTCTGCTGGAGGTTTCTTCCTGTTCAAAGGGAGTTTTTCCTCTCCACTGTCGCTACAAGCATGCTTAGTGTGAGGGATTGTTGAAGAGTCAATGAGTCGATGCAATCAGCTGGTTTTCCTTAGATAGAAAACTTTGAATCAATCTGACTGGATGATCTGGTTGAACTGGAAAGTGCCTTGAGATGACATGTGTTGTGAATTTGGCGCTATATAAATAAACTGAATTGAATTGAATTGAAATTTTGCTACCTCCACCATGATGCTACCTCCACCATGATGCTACCGTGATGCTACCTCCACCATGATGCTACCGTGATGCTACCTCCACCATGATGCTACCTCCACCATGATGCTACCGTGATGCTACCTCCACCATGATGCTACCTCCACCATGATGCTACCGTGATGCTACCTCCACCATGATGCTACCTCCACCATGATGCTACCGTGATGCTACCTCCACCATGATGCTACCGTGATGCTACCTCCACCATGATGCTACCTCCCTCATGATGCTACCTCCACCATGATGCTCCACCGTGATGCTACCTTCACCATGATGCTACCGTGATGCTACCTTCACCATGATGCTACCGCCCTCATGTTGCTACCTCCACCGCGATGCTACCTCCCTCATGATGCTACCTCCACCATGATGCTACCGTGATGCTACCTTCACCATGATGCTACCGCCCTCATGTTGCTACCTCCACCGCGATGCTACCGCCCTCATGTTGCTACCTCCACCATGATGCTACCGTGATGCTACCTTCACCATGATGCTACCGCCCTCATGATGCTACCTCCACCGTGATGCTACCGCCCTCATGTTGCTACCTCCACCGTGATGCTACCGTCCTCATGATGCTACCTTCACCATGATGCTACCGCCCTCATGTTGCTACCTCCACGGCGATGCTACCGCCCTCATGTTGCTACCTCCACCATGATGCTACCGTGATGCTACCTTCACCATGATGCTACCGCCCTCATGTTGCTACCTCCACCATGATGCTACCGTGATGCTACCTTCACCGCGATGCTACCGCCCTCATGTTGCTACCTCCACCATGATGCTACCGTGATGCTACCTTCACCATGATGCTACCGCCCTCATGTTGTGTGGAAGCTCATTGGTAGAATTCTCTTATGATAGGAAGAAGGCTGACAATTCACTCCATTGTCTCCGGAGGGGGGAAACATTTATTTACAAAACCGAATTCATACAGCTGTCTTAAACACTTCATACATCCAGCGCTATGTCCTCACATCTGTAGTTTTCCCCCACCTTCAATCCATTGAGGGCGGCCTTTTATAGGCTCCACAACGCACTGTGTGGATGCACGCGCACGACTGGACGCTCTGAAGAACCTTCTGGAAGTTCTTGTCCTGTGACCCGATTGCATGCGCGTGGGCCTTAACGACCCTGTTTTGCAAAGACTTGTGACTTCCAGCTTGTAAACATCCTGTTTTCATGTTGCAATCTCTGTGTTGCTAAGTAGGCATAAGGTCAGAAACAGGACTGCATAATGCAGTACAACTGCTTCCTTGTTTGGCAAGCCAGCCAGCATTAGAGACTTTATTATTGCTAAGACTCATACTTGAACTTCAAGATGTACTGTTTTGTTGCTAAGTAAGTATAGGTCCATGTTGTAGGATATATTCTGATTCTGATTTCTGATATAAGACAATAAAACTGCTACTACAGTTGCTACCTCCACCATGATGCTACCGTGATGCTACCTTCACCGCGATGCTACCGCCCTCATGATGCTACCTCCACCATGATGCTACCGTGATGCTACCTCCACCATGATGCTACCGTGATGCTACCTTCACCATGGTGCTACCGCCCTCATGTTGCTACCTCCACCGTGATGCTACCGCCCTCATGATGCTACCTTCACCATGATGCTACCGCCCTCATGTTGCTACCTCCACCGTGATGCTACCGTGATGCTACCTTCACCGCGATGCTACCGCCCTCATGTTGCTACCTCCACCATGATGCTACCGTGATGCTACCTTCACCATGATGCTACCGCCCTCATGTTGCTACCTCCACCATGATGCTACCGTGATGCTACCTTCACCATGATGCTACCGCCCTCATGTTGCTACCTCCACCGCGATGCTACCGCCCTCATGTTGCTACCTCCACCATGATGCTACCGTGATGCTACCTTCACCGCGATGCTACCGCCCTCATGTTGCTACCTCCACCATGATGCTACCGTGATGCTACCTTCACCATGATGCTACCGCCCTCATGTTGCTACCTCCACCATGATGCTACCGTGATGCTACCTTCACCGCGATGCTACCGCCCTCATGATGCTACCTCCACCATGATGCTACCGTGATGCTACCTCCACCATGATGCTACCGTGATGCTACCTTCACCATGGTGCTACCGCCGTCATGTTGCTACCTCCACCGTGATGCTACCGCCCTCATGATGCTACCTCCACCATGATGCTACTGCCCTCATGATGCTACCTCCGTCGTGATGCTACCTCCGTCGTGATGCTACCTCCACCGTGATGCTACCGCCCTCATGATGCTACCTTCACCGCGATGCTACCGCCCTCATGTTGCTACCTCCACCATGATGCTACCGTGATGCTACCTTCACCGCGATGCTACCGCCCTCATGTTGCTACCTCCACCATGATGCTACCGTGATGCTACCTTCACCATGATGCTACCGCCCTCATGTTGCTACCTCCACCATGGTGCTACCGTGATGCTACCTTCACCATGATGCTACCGCCCTCATGTTGCTACCTTCACCATGATGCTACCGCCCTCATGTTGCTACCTCCACCATGATGCTACCGTGATGCTACCTTCACCATGATGCTACCGCCCTCATGTTGCTACCTCCACCGCGATGCTACCGCCCTCATGTTGCTACCTTCACCATGATGCTACCGCCCTCATGTTGCTACCTCCACCGCGATGCTACCGTGATGCTACCTTCACCATGATGCTACCGCCCTCATGTTGCTACCTCCACCATGATGCTACCGTGATGCTACCTTCA